GAATCATTCTAGAGGCCTACATTTTACAGAGTTGACATGCTGAAAGTTCACTGACCACACTGTCATCTTCATAATAGCTTTGTTTGCTAGTTAGTTGTTTCTGGGTGCATTTGTTTAAAAGGATTTTGAAGCTGCTGATGTATTTAGTTCTTTTGAAATGCTGAAAACAGTTCTTATTATGTTTAGCTTTTAGCTTACCTTTGTTAACAGTTCTAATTGTTTAATATACCCGTGCTCTTTTAATGTGGAAAGCAGTAAAATCCTCTTCTCTCAAGTTACCTGAAGATTATCCTTCAGTCAGCTGACATTATTTTGAATTACTGCTTCAATAGCTTTTTCAGTAAAACGAAGACTGATAAAAATTACAGCTTTGAGGTTAAAGTACTCAGATGGAATTTAAGCATTCAGGGCTTTGCCAAGGATCCCCCACCTGGCCTTTGACAGGACTTTCAGTCTTCTTTCACCCAAGCTTACCCTCTGTAAAATGAAGAAAACAGCCCATCTCTTCTTGCCCACCTCTGGACATTACTGAGACGTTAAGCAAGGAGTTCTAATTATACAATAAAGACCATAATTTGTTAACATATTTTACAGGTCCATGATTTTAACAATGAGAGTAGTCCCACTGAGGCTACTCTTTGTATGATCTGTCTTTTAGAAGTCATTAAGGCTGTCCACAAAATATGCTTATTACTGTGGCATTTTTGTGATTAGGATGTTAGTAAATTACTTTTTTTTTTTTTTTTTTTAATCTGCTATTTTTAAGAAAGTCATAGAGCTAGTTCCTAGCTTAGCCAGCCTGCTAATGACAAAGAACAAAACTATTTCCCTTTGTACCATGACGTTCTCTATGTAGGCTGAAGGTTAGGTCTAGCATACCTTTTTATGACACTGAGAGTGATACGTGTTTATCTCTAAAAATCAGGTTCACTTTTCCTCAGCTGCCAGTTAGACTTAATTCTATTTGGTAGTTTGTGATGGTTAAAAATGGTTTAGAAGGGATATTGCTGCCCTTGGCTGAGTTTTGCATTTTAGCTGTACAGCTATTTAAAACCTCTGTATTTTCCATGTCATATGAATTCTCATGTGTCATCTTTCAGAATAGTGGACAACAGCTTTCATTATAAGTATAAAGAGTCCTATCTTTCCAATATATTATATTATTATTAATATTTACATAAATGTATATAAAAGAGAATAACATATGCATGTTGAACCAATGAAATAACTATAAAAGCATCACAAAAAAATGAAGGTCAGAATGACAAAATATTCTTTGAATATTCACACCAGCAGGAAAATCTAGAATAGATCCAAATTAATGAAATGATTTGACGTGAAATGAATTCTGAATCACAGGCACCTTTTCAGAGAAACCTCTAACAGTAGTAGAAATTCTTAGCAACACAAAATCATTCTTAATAATAACAACATAAATAGTCGTAGCAACAGAGGGAATTCTAAGTTGAGTACTTTGGTGACTTATGTTATCTGACTCCTAATGTTTCTGAGAGGTTTTCTGTTTGTTTGGTTTTTGGAGAGCGTTGGCGGTGGTAGTGGTGGATCCCACATGAGGAAACCTTGAGCATGCTCCATCTCTGATACAAGAACTTTGCTTTAGAAAAAGAATATCTAAAGTAAAAAGACTGCCTTCATTTTCAATTAAGATGAATATTACTTTATCCATTGATTTGCAATCATGCATTTCTGCTTGGAAGATATGCAGTCTGCATCTCTATCATGTTTAAATAAGACCTGATCCCTCTCCTACACACACTGGTTTTAAAGCCCTTTAAGTGGAAAAGAATTGTGCCTTATCCTGATAAAATGCCTGTGTTTCTCTGTGTTTATACGTGTGTATAATGTATATTTTTATTCAAGCAATGAACAATTACAAAATATGCTCAAAAGATTTCTCTGTTTTTCTGTAACATGTTATACCCTTGGTATAGGGATATTGCTGTCTTTGAGTATTTAAAGCAATAACTGTAATTTGTCAACATCCAAGTATGAAGTTAACACTATTTTATGAATATAACCTTCCCGCTGGGCAACCATTAAAAAGTTGTTCTGTCTGATTGCTGTCTAAATATCTGGGTTAGATTCTTAATAAAAAATCTGTGAACTTTAGTTGAAACAAAAATAACAGAACTATTTTAGGTTTGTTACAGTCACTTCTATATCCAGTTGACCTTGTCCCAATTTTAGCTTTGTTTCCTTTTTCTGTGTGGCTTCTGGGAACCTGCTTTGAAAATAAAATCTACTCAGAGGGTCAAATCCTGAATTTCTTACTCTGTCAAAACTTCTCTTCAGCTTTGTTGGACAAACACTTGACAAACAGTTGCCTTTGCACTCATTTGTTTTTTGTTTGTTTGTTTTTGTTTGTTTGTTTGTTTGTTTTTGAATCAGAGCAAAAGTTCAATAGCTAAGGTAATGAGAACCTAGAACAGAATAAGATATATTGAGTACAGTCAATTTGTGCCAGTGAAATTCAGATATTTGCCAGGATTACAGTTAAAGATACACATGGTACTATCCTTACCTTAATGCCTTTAAGATAAAGAATGAATGGAATAGCTCCCAGTTATCTGGTCATCTAGCTTCAGATTTATTCCTTTTTTTTTTTTTTTCATAATGAATGCTTATACCAAATCAGTGACTCTCTGGATCAGATGGGAAGGCCCATAAAAACTCTAGCCAAAACTGTATGTCTTATTTCTAATACAACAATATAAATCTGGTCTGTATTATCTGAATAAAAATCAGCATGTGCTATTCAGCAAAACATGGGCCTTCCCTTTTAATTGCTCTGCAGAACTATTGTAGTCATCTGCCACTCACTTAAAATTAACATTACTACAAGTTCAAGCATACAGGTATATTAACAGTAAATAGTGTTTGTACGTGCAACACTAAGAATTCGGATTTTTTTTTTCAGATGTGAGTAAAAAAAAATAAAAAAAGAGAGAGAGAGAGAAATAAACTAACTTTTTTGAATAAGCTGTTACCTTCAACAAAGTCAGGCCACACAAGACTGGGCTATACCTTTAAAATGCAAGTACAGAGCATTTTTTCCTGGTTTCCATCCTGAGATGTTGGGGAGGAAGAGGTATTGCACATGCTGCTTCATTCTTCCACAGCCTAAGGACATGCTATCCAATTTTTAATGTTGCACTGGGCTGTAAAGGTAATAGGTACCTGTCTCTTCTTTGTCCCTTCTTGCCCCACAGCAGCTGCATGTACTGCCTGTGTTACCTACCTGGAAATACTGGGAAAATTATGGGTTTTCTTTCTCTTCCTCAGTTTCTTGCTCTTCCTTGGTTTCTCGATTAATCAAAAGGGATTAGTATTTTGACCTCTTCTGTAAAGTGCTTTGAAATATTTGATAAAAATGCTGCATTGTTTATCTTCATTTTTAATTGAAATGATAGAAAACGATTGCAGGATCGCTAGTAATGGTTAGTGCACATTTGCTTTTAAATAGCAATGCCTGACAATCCGTTTAATGATTATCCAATATGTACCAGCAAAGTTTCAACTTTCTGTCCCTGTTTCTCATTTATGCTAAAAAACTATATTCTGCTCCAATAAATGAGAAGAATCTGAAAATTTAAACCTCAAAGATCTCCCAAATCAGGGTCTGCCCACAGACATGATATACGTGAATTGCAAAATACTGCAGAAAATTAGAAGGCACAATTAGTAGCCCTCACCACATTGTAATCATTTTATATGCAGAAGAGAGACATCCAACTGCTAATTTCCATATAAAACTATTCTAATCACATAAATGGTCACAGTGGCAAAGCACAAACATTCATATGCGAAGGCCTGTGCCCTGGTAAGTGTTGCAATTCTCCATTAACACAGTTAATTGCTTAAGTGTCAAATGCTATGACTTGGTATCAGGGCCTAAGAATGGATCACGCACAGCCTGACCAACTAATAGCTAATGAAGCACTCTACAGTGGAGTGCCAGAAGTAGACAGACTGTGTACAAATTTGCTGTCCACCCGCTGCCCTTTCCCAAATCAGTGCCATGCTGTGGTACAAAAAGCAAGGCTGAGAACTGCATAAAGCATCTATGAAATACATGCTTTGTAAACCCTTTCTCTATTTCATGTTGTTTTCACCAGAACACAGAGGCAAGTACAAGTTTTACACTGTCTTTAGTAGTTTACAGTGTCTATCTGTAGTAGACAACTCTTGAGTCCAGCAGAAATAGCTATATCATTAAGAAAAGAAAGACCTGTGGGCTAGTATATCCTGTTCATCTATTCTGATGAAGGAAGTGCACACTGTTTGTTTCTTCTAGCATTGTAGCTGATGATATTGTACAAGAATATCAACAAACAAGGGACCGGATGTTATTTCTGTTGAAGTACATGTTAATACTCCCATGAGGAGAGCAGGTGCTAAGAACTCATGAAACAGGTGCTATGAAACATATAGCCAAATTTGGAAGAGATTTTTGGATACCACCTACATGACAGAGCATGCAGGATTGATTTCAAACTGTTTAGACATTCATGTTGTGGAAACAACATACAACAAATAGATTTGAGAGGATAGTCTGCGACAGGATGGATAAACATTCACAAAAATATGGGATTAATTTCATAAGATGATACATACCACTAGATGAACAACAAACCACCATATTCAGCGTGTAACATTGTATATATTACATTTTATATCCAGCAAAAGATTTGCAAGAAAAATACTGACATACTTAGAGTTTTTGAAAAAATATCTTCTTGAGCAGCCAACAGGATACAGAAGGGTACTTCCTGAGAGCATCTTGAGCTCTGCTTAACGAACATGTCTTACTAAACAGCAGTTAATTTATCAAATAATGTATTAGTCACAGGTAAACTATGTTTTATTAACTGAAGTATTAGATCATAAAACATAAAAATCAAAATCAAAATGGTCTTAGAAAATCCTAAAGTAGACAAATGATAAAATGCCACAATGAAAACATCTCTGATTTGACTTACTTGAACATATGGACTATAACAGTCTTGTTCTACAGTGCACAAAAGTTCCTGGCAAAGTAAAGCTTTTTCAGATCCCACTTTGGTACAGGAAAATAAAAGAGAATATTTCTTTCTTTCTGGCTCTTGTGCTTCATCCATCCTCCATCTCACACCCTAAAAGGCAAGGAGAGGAATATACCATAAATTAGGAAAAAAAAAAAAAAAAAAAAAAAAAAAAAAAAAAAACGAGCCTAACAAAGGTTGCACAACATTTGGTGAACATAAAATTAATGCCAATCACTCAAAGATCTTAGTCAGAAAGTACAAATATGAAGTTTTGAGAATTTATCCGTAAGCTTTCAACAAATTCCACTGAGGATGTACAAATGATGAACGTAAAGGTTTACAATTTGGCAAGTTCTGCCAGGATGTTCCACAGATCACAACATCCACGTTTCAGGACTGCTCTTTCTGTCTTTCAGAATACTCTTGACAGAGTATAACACTCTTGACAGGTAGAGCTTTACAAAACATTGATTTTTGAGAAGGAAAGATGACTGTCATTTGCACAAATATTTTGTTACATTTGATTCATTATTTTGATTTCTTTTTAATTTAAGTTAAAATATAAAGTCTGTTTGGAATACAGCATAAGTGTAGAAATCTTCATTTCAGGTTGTTGACATTGGCAAAGCTATAGGCAATTGTAATCAAAAGAACTAGGCAATGTTAACTTTGAATACTGCTACCGATTCCACCTAAAATACATTGATTTCTATATTATTCAGTGTGCTCCATAGTGGGTAAATATGTAGGGATGAAGATTGTTACATTTATGTAGTACATTATAATCTGTTCTTAATTATTAGGTACAAATGTAATTAGATTAAAAAAAAAAAAAAAAAAAAAAAAAAAAAAAACAATTATGAGGATAAAATTTATCCAGGAGTAACTTACCCAAAGTCAATTCTAATGATCCATATGGCTTCGGCCAAATTTGTATTGTTACTTCTGCAACACGCTTGTCAAGGATGCAGATTTAGAGGATGGAAAGAATAAAGAATAATGGGGAAAAAAAAAAAATCTGATGTTGTGAATTCTTCTTTTCCATCCTCTGACTCACTTAAGGACTTTTCCCTGGTTCTTTGGAGTGCATTCCCCAGGAATGAAGTAAGATTATTCCCTACTTCATTTACCAAAGGGCAGAGTGAAGAACCAAGGCAAGTTATGTTCTCCTTCTGCTCTGGCTTACAAAGCAATTCTTAATTCTTGGGAGAGTCACCTGGTCCCAAAGGCATTTAGCAGTACCATAAATATTTCAAATACCGTCTGCATGCTGGGAAGCTCCAGGAGGCATTGGGTCTCATTGGAACAAGATGCCTCTGCTGTCCCCTGGGAAGTCATGAGGTTATGTAATGCATAGCTGTGCTTAAGGGGATAACCAAGACTTCTCTGTTGCTTATTAAAACTCAGATTACTTCTGGCTCCTTTTAAATCTACATTTGTGGTTTCTTATTAACTGTTCCTTTAGCATATTATCAAAGTCTGATGATACAAAGTCCAGTGTGCACATTCCTTTACTTCTTTTAGTCCAGTTTCCCCAGGAACGTGGCTTGTAACTGTAACATTTGTAAGTTTTTATGTCACCTATCTGCCAGCCCCTAGTAAACCTCCTGTCTACTTTTAACCAAATTCAACAGAGAGCTAGAAGACTCATCTGTATTCATTTTCTACAAATCTCATGAAAATAAGTGGCCAGGGAGAGGAGGGAAATCCATTCATTGCTCTCATGACAGGAAAAGCTTCCAGAGAAACCACATGGAAATTCACCCTCAGATACAAATCATAGAAAATTAGACTTCATTAGTTCCACTGCTCATGGAACTGCTTGTTTTAGGTAATATATCTGCACTGGAAATTCAGATGGTAATAATGTCTTTGCTAATTTATAGAGCATTAACACTTTTGTACACTACTGTATATAAACAGCAAGATATATCGATTGCCCAATCCAGCCCCCATCAACATCAAAGGAATCCTTCTACTTACTTAAGTGGGAGTTGGACCAGGCCCATGCATAGTTTTACCCATCATAAACATTTATAATAGCAATATTAAAATATAAGTTATTCTGTAAGAGGCTCAAAAGCAGAAACAAAAGAAACATTTTAATCCAGTTTTAAATGCCATGATAGATTTCAGTTATGCAAACAGCAGCATAAAAGGAAAACATAAATTCATATTCATAAAAGCATAAATGAGTGTACCATAAGTGCAAGTAATGTTCACTTCCTTCGCTACTACTGCAACTTTATTATATTTTGGAAATGAAACTTTCCATTATGCTAGCTCTTGTTCAGTCACACTCTGCTTACAGAGGTGGTTTTCACTGAAGTACAAGATGGCCAAAGTTATTCTGTTGGATGGAAAATTAATGTATATGAGGTATGGAATTCCATGACTCCTTTTTTAAAAAATCTATATAAATTAGCATGAAAATTTTCAGCAGACTTGGCTTTCATAGAATCATGGAAGTCCTACAGCAGCTTTGGTAAATGCCTCCATTGAGGAAATATTTCATATCCTCCAGTAGCTTGCTATTCCACCCATGAGAGCATTCATATGCTTTTGAACCTACGTTAAAGCTCAGCTAAGAAACCATTAAATGTTCAGATTAGTCCTCTACAGGAAAATCCTGCAAGGGGAAATGGAAATTCCATGATGTGCTCCTAGAAGAGTTTCCACTGTATTGTTCTTTTAGAGGGAAAAGAAGGGTTGTATTCCCACAGAATGAGCAATGGTCTCAGTCCAAGTGACTCTTGTGGGTTTCATCAGGATCTAGGATCAAGCACACATGATGTCTGTGTCTTCAGATTTCATTTTGGGTACTCATTTCCCAAAGAACTCTACTATCAAGGACTCCATCACTAGTTACTACTGCCCCTGAAGCAAAATTTGGGAGGTCATAGAAAAATATATGGTTTAAATGTGGTCTGGGCAGTTAACGCCAACAAAGACATTTTGCTTGTTGACCTGTGTCCCTGGGTTTTGTTTTCTTAATGGCAAATCCTCAGTGTCCAAAAATAGGAGGAATGTTCCTGAAAAGGAAATACTGTTTCCATCTATAGAAATCATCTTGGGGTTATGCTTTTCTGCTACTGGAAACTGCTTGGCCTGTTTAAGCCTACATTATGCTGCTGATCATTGTATCAATATGTATGTGTGCTCACCAAATAATTTTTGAGAGGAAAAAAGAGGCTTAAATATAAACTATACATGTAGGAACAGTTTCTAGTCCAGGAATATGCCCTTTTTGGATCCTGAACAAATAGCAGGCCAAGTGTATAAGTTAGTCTTCCTCTCTCATATTTCTGCTTTTGCCTCCATGAACAGAAAACAAAGAAAGGACTTGCATAGGCCAAACAATAGCATTCTCCATCACATCCGATGAACAGGATAATCATGGGCACGTGGCAGAGCACTAGTAAGACTTGACAGAGCCAAAGTGACTTGGAATTTTTTATTGATTTGAAATCCTAATTTCAAATCAATAAAAGCATTTAGGATTTTCCTGAAAGGACCTTAATCACCTATATACATACAGAAGTCTAAACTGTATCTTGTTCCAAGTCACATGGGATGTAGGCTGTTCAATAGGATTATGACTTCTGAACATAGAACATAAGCACCTTAATTAACCAGGGCACTTTGGAAATTTTAGATAATATTTCACTGCTAGCATACTTTTTGCAGTCACTGAAAATGAATGAATTCATTTCCGTTAATGAATTTATGATTCAATTGCCTGTGATACAACCACAGTCTATGAATTCTCAGAGAAGACAGAAGTCTTGAGATCCAAATCCGTTTGCATTAATGACAATATGATATTTTATTTTATTTTTTTTTTGTTAACTTAAAACCAAGAGCAATGTATATTGTCAGCAAAATGGTGACTCTGCAGTAAAAAAGCAGACCAAAAACAGACCACAACATATGGTTGCAATGCTGTTTCTTCTGCAAAGATTTATCATTGATAAGAGATCTATTGTTTCTCAAAGCTAGAGATGCTATTGCCAATTTTAACAGAACACAGTCTATTCTAGCACAATTAAATATGAATTAGCACTCACATTCCCTAACTTTTTTTTCTTCATAAACTTAAAATATAAACCAAAATTTTGTAAACTTTCAGGTACTGTCTGAGACTGCTTCCAACTTGGATAATAAATTTCCTTTTTGACATACTTTGTTTTAAAATTAGTAAATTGCTTCCTCTTTCTTACCTGTTTTCCTTTTATATAGGGCAACTGGCTATATGAAGTATTTTTGGACGATGATTTCTCCAGTAAAGTATGTCTTTGAAATCCTTCCAGGTTCACAACATATAGTGTTTAACTTCATTATCCTTAAAATTAAACATTAAAATATTTTCCATGCGCTGCTTTAGATTATTGTAGTACCAAGTTTGGAAGAAGGAATGAAAACATATTCAAACTTAAGTGTATGTCTTGAAATAAAATGAAACCCAACTCTTTTTTTTATTATTATTCAGACAATCTCAGTTTACTAAATGACATTTTAACATAATTTAATAATAATAATAATAATAATAATAATAATAATAATAATAATAATAATAATAATAATAATAATAATAATAATAAATAGTAATAATAATAATAATAAAAGATGGTGAGATATTTTGCTTAAAACCTGGCATTTGAGATGTCTAATCTAAGAGAATAACATCAACTCATTGCTAATTTTGCTTGAGATCCAATAGTTTGGAGAATAGATTTCAGAGTAGGGGATTTTGTAGAGCTATGGCAGTAGTATTTAATTTACCATATTTATAAGAAGATTCCTATTTTACTTTTCTGCTTTGGTAGTAATATTGAGAAAAATTGTTTTTATAAGAGGATCACCATGTCCTGCAAATCACTAAAGAGGACAGCATGCCACTCAGTGCTTAGGAAATAGACAGCTGCTTTACAGTTTGGATTATCCAAAATGGGTCAGAAAGAAAAGAGAAGACTACTGCAGAGGAGTTCTGGCCTTCTGCAAGAGAAGAAAATAAAGAAACTGGATCACATTTATTAGCAAAACAGCAAGAAATCAGACTGCTATTTGTTAACCATGTCTGTGAGTAACTAGCAACAAACCTATTTATCATGAAAGACTATTTATCATGAAAGATTATCAGAACGCAAATTGTCTGAGGGAGGCAGGAATAGCTCTGGAGCATTATGAAATCCTCATTTATGCAGGGTCCCAACAATACCTGAAAGTACTTTAATGAAAGACTTTACCTGGATAATAGGAATGTAACTCAATACAGCTTATTGTTTGAAGATACCCCCTTATATTTTCACCTTACATTTTGTAAAGTTTTGTTTACTATAGATCATTCAGAATGTATTTAGACTTCCTATATCAGCTTTAGTGCAAAGGAATTTACAATTGTTTCTTTCCTTCCCTGTGAAGGAGGGAAGGAAACAATGAAGTCATCAATAACATTCCGGGAGTATCTCACCAAAAATATACAGTTTGAGAATAAAAGATGTTCACCAGTCTGGTCTGAGTCTGTCAAGTAATTTTAGCAGAAATGCTTTTAAAATATCAAAAAGCATAATTTAACATATATAAAATGAAGTGTTACACATATCAATGTTTGTGTAACTTAAAAGTCAAAGAAAAGAAGGGCTAGGCTCTGTAGTTAGACCATTCAGATTAGAAATGTGAGACTCATGTTCCACTTTAGCTTCTTGAGAAGTTTTGAACTGGTGTTACTAAGAGTTGCACTAACCTCTCACTATCCTCTAATATGCTATGGACTATATACTATCTTTAATTGCCAGTGTTCATTATGAATGGCCTATGCCTACTGAGGGGAAAAAAAAAAAAAAAAAAAAAAAAAAGCAGAAGTGGTTGGTGGCTGGTAAAGACATGAAATAATGAAATACCTGGGCTCAAACTCTGTGGTCAAATACAAAATGGAACATCACCTGGAGATTGAGGGGCTGCCCGGAGCAATCAGTGACATGCTGTGGAAGCATTGCTCAGGGAGGGGGATAATGCAGGTTCAAGTCTTGTTAGGTAGAGAAAGGATCTCCTCACCATTTCCCCTCCTTCCTGGGCTTTCTCATATGAGTATAAGTCTTGCCAGTAATGCCAGCAGGAATTTAATCCTACATTTCTCTGACTTTTATCAGTATGTGCCTGAAAACTGAAATACTTTGGAAATGGGAAACAGTTAACCTCAATACTTCCAAGACATTTCAGCTTTGAAGGCTCATAAGTAAGATTTCCCTAGTTTGGAAGAATTGAGTTCCATTTCATTTTCTGTGCTTTAATCTTGGTAATAAAAATATCCTAATAGCTTTATTGTCCACTTATTTTCTTTGACAGCTGGCCCAAAAAAATAAAAAATAAAACTCAGAATCTTTGCTCCAAACCAAGGTTCATTGTATAATGCAACAGAAATGAGTATTGCCCTTCAAAGAAAAACTCTTTCAAATTTTGTTGAATAATTTGGTATCTGTTTTCTGACTGAATTTCATAACAGTTGGTTGAATGTAGCTCTTCTGACTTGTCAGGAATCCATGTGATCATATAATGCATATTTGGGTACATGTAAATATGTTCAGCTTTCTCATCTGCATTTTTGTGACTGTGAAAAATTGTCTCAGTACCCTTTAGATTTCCAGCTGACATTTGCTGATGTAGGTTAATGGTCACTGAGGCACAATATTATCATTGCTGCCATACCTCCCATATCTTAGAAGAATGTTATTGTTGCATTTGCTGCAGTTTGCTATTGTATCAAAGGAGAAGACTTAAATTAAAAATGTCATCTGTTGAGTACAAATGCTTTTATTTCCATGAGTCTGGGTGATTTAATTATATAATCTATTACAAAATGTGCTTCATACCAAGAGTAACATTTGAGCAAATTATTTTAATTAATAGTAAATTTTAATGAATGTCATAAAATGTCTATTCTTCCCAGAGAGAATATGCTATCTGTCACTGATACCATACGGGTACATCCATCTTAAAAGAGGATTTGGCCTATTCACCAACCACTT